ATAACAAAACAAACAAATTGATTTGTACAGACTTAAAGAGGGCAAAAAAGCATCAGGCCAACATATTCCATCAACAACTTCTAATTTCATCACAAAAATATCGATACTCACTCTAGCTCCTGGACCATTTTTCTGGCCACCCTTAATGTCGACTTGGAAGAATAGCGGAAAAAGTCATCCCGTTTAATTCTTAACATAACTGCCCCTTTGCTGACGAGCATCAGCATTCGCCCCGTCGGCCTAAGAACCCCAGAGACATCCTGCAAAAAGAATCATTGTGCAACGCATTAATTTCTACTTTCAGAGCTTGGATGTGTTGTAAAGGTTTTGACTAAGAAATTAAGATTACTTGGAATTTAAAGCGCTTCATTAATTCGTACGAAAATCCTCAATCACAAGGATTAAAAACGCGAAAGAGGATTTTTGTTTATGAAACTAGGTCAAGGATAAAACGGACATGACCAAATTTGGTATAGTTCATGGACCTATTACCTAAGACAGTGAGTTTTTTTTTGGGTCATAAATGTCAGTGTAGGGCGCACCTACTAAAGAACTCATGTAACAGATCACCAACGCTTACTATGCGAGAAAGGAGAGCATTCAATTGGAAATTTATCCATTGAGTAAGAAAACATTTTCCATCAGCATTAAATTTTTGTATGCTATGCAGCATAAATAGTTATAACAGTGTACGTTATTTCAGACAGCGGAAACCATGGAAAACCAAAATTAGTCACAGTTGTCTGAGCGAAAATGTGTACTTGTAAGATTAGTTTCTACTGGAAGACATCTATGTGCGTATTGTACTCATTCAGGCCACCTCTAGCCACATACAAGTCACCTGGTAATAATCGAAGCAACTAGACTTCTTCATCGTAACATCAGTTAATCGATAGCCGAAAGGCAATCAAGCTGACTTTGTTTCTAGCTGTTTCGAACGAAGTGCTCATTTTTATGGACCAACATGTCTTACTATAAAGCACTCCTTCCCTTAAAAAAGCTTAATACATGACCTACATCGTTGACGAAGGATATAGTTTTCGCAAAGTGTGAACTACGTGGTCCAAGATGACGGACGCCCACGTTTCCAAGAGCTCCTGCTCTTGTAAATGTTTACGTAAGAAAGGAAGCGGGGAACGTTTAGTTAATGAATTATGGTAAAGGGCAACGAGCCCTTGGAATCGTAAGACATCTGAGAGAGCTGTGGGGAAAATAGTTTTTTCCCGCTATTAAGACTGAATTTGAAGCGGTTAAAGTGCAACTTCAATCGCAGATTGCGACTGTAAATGAACGTCTTCAAAATATTGAGGAAAAACTGTCGTCACTGTCTTCTAAGTATGATAACTTGCTGGTAGCTACAAGGTACAAACCAAAAATGAAATACAAGAAATGGAGAAGTCGCGGAAGGATTTTTTAAATACTTCATGAAATCTTGAGGACTCGATGTATGGTAATGAGGTAGCCATTGGTGATGTGCGGCAATATTTAAAATGAAAAGTTTTTCTGTCTAAATTAGTTTTCTTTTACTTACAAAGATGTCACCGCTCTTCATTGATGCTATGTTTAAGTAAACCACGTCTTTATTCAGTTTTCCTGCCTTCGATTGTGTTTCTATTAGCTCAGAAAAATTCTCCGATGCCCTCTTATCTCGTCTTTCCAGTTCAGTTGGGGCAGTTTCGATTGCAGGTTGTTTGATTTCAGGCTCCTCTTCCTCTTCATCGTCTTCTTCATTGACGATGTAAACGGCGTCTCCCTTTGCGTGAGGTGCATCCTTGTATGGCACGGCCATCACCTCCAGAATCCTTTCAGCTCCTGCAGTCTCATCTTGTGAATCAGACCACTCGGATTCTGACATGGAAGTTCTGTAGAATATTGACAGTCAGGACTTGTAAGAAAATGTAACTTTTAACCCAAGTTTGATCTATTTTGATAATTGACTGGGTACCTAACTAACGAGCTGTTCATATCCAATAACTTATTTGTGTCTGAGAGAATGAACGACTTATTGCATGACTGACTTAGTGAATGTCTGGCTGATTTAACAAACAAAGCTCCCGCTAAAGCTGTATCGTCTACATCAAAAAATAAATAAATTACATTATAAGAAAACATCTACTTGCCTTTCATTATCCTCCTCATTTTCATCCACCTTTTTACTTTCGTTAAAACTGAAAGGAGTTTTCAAACTCTCTTCTAGTTCTTTTCTCCAAATTTTGGACTGATCAGACTGGAATCTACGCTTTCTTCTCAGCACGCCGGAAGTAAAATAAATGTCATCGCTTGTTACCCTCTTTAGACAGGTAGGTTTGGGTAGAACGCGTAGATCAAGTGCTTTAATTACGGAGCATTTGCCCTAGTAATAAAAGCGGAAGCGATCTTGTAAAGCGATTGCAAGAATAACAGTTTGTATACTTTTGATTACGAGGAAAAGTGTATTTATCATCACAAGAATTGCAAAAGGTTTCTGAACAGCCACTGTTGAACTGAAAGAAGGAGCGACTGTCTGGCTGACTCTTATCTGACTTACTGACCTGACACCACCGAAGAACTGCCTGACTTACTTACGGCTTCAGTTACTAAAAAAATCACAAACTAACTGATTAAGAGTGCTGACTGATTGACCGACTGTCTTTGCTAGCCCAACCATGACAACAATTCGCACGTGGAGACTTTTCTTACCAAGACAGCTCTAAGGATTATACGATTACTCCAAAAAAAAAAAAAAAGAATCGAACAAAGCCTGTCAATGTTGCCTAGTTTGCAAATTTGATGTCACTGAAACGAGGAATGGGATGTGGCGAAATGAATCGAAAATAATCTATCAGTTGTACCACGTGTAACTTTGAATTTCAAATTCTTCGAAGTGATTGGACGCTGGGGGTTTGACACATCTGGGCGCTGTTTCGAGTACAACGCACGAAATATTTCAATTCTCCCCCTTTTACCTAATAATTGTTTATGCTAGTTGGTGGAAAAATCACTAACTCGACAGCTTTGTAATGTCAATTTTCGTGAACTTTCAATGTATAGTATTACTGTGAAAAAATCCCCGACATCTGGAAGACAAACTCACTGCTCAGTTTCTCCTGTTAGTCTTTTACATCGACGACATCTTTTGCTTCGATAATTTATAGTTTTCGAGAATTCGGGTAGAGATCCAACGTTTTGTTTACCGGAAACCACGCTTGTTGAAATGCTTCGACGACAACAATTGTGGGGAGACTGCTCAAGAACTTGTAACGAATAGACACGAACAATTACGAAGAAACAAGACAATTACGTAATAATGATTGTTGTTGTTGCATAACATATGCGACCTGGTGATACTCTTCGTCGGTAATCTTGTTCGCAATTAATAGTCAATGAATCGTTTTATAGGGCAGTAGTAGAGTGTTTAGAGTCGTTCCGAAGGATCTCGATGTAAGTTTATTTTTGGTGTTTCGTCCGACCGATGGTTACATTTGATCGTCAATAACACGCTAGTCTCTGTTATTTTTCACCAAGACACTGTATTTTAAATCTTTTGCGTCCACACAGGCCCTCATTTTGAGTGCCAGACCCTTTACAGACCTCTCGCACTGATTGAATGGTTAACTAGCCGACAGAATGACAGACTAACTGGTTTTGAATGATTAACAGATGGACTGACCAGCTGACGCACTGAATGGCTGACTGAATGAATGAAGGAATGAAAGAATTTCAATAATTCAGCGACTTAATGACTGACGATTAACTCGCTTGCTTTCGCATTAGCAGTCTGGCTCAAAAACTGTCGCTAGCTAACTGAATAAGCGTCTGACTGAGTAGTTGTGTTTCACTGGTAGGATTTAAAATTACCTGCATGCAGAGGTAAATCCATTCCAAGTCTTTGCTGCTGTCTTTCACGATTATCTTATTCGATTTCCACTGAAAGCAAAAGAGGATCCGTTGGAGGAGACTTCTCTCAGCTGTTGGGTACTAAAACAGTTTTGCTTACCTCCTGGATTTGTGCCTCAAAACAAACGTTTCTCAGTGCTTCATCTGCCCAATGCCTAAAGAAAGGTAAACCTCTGAAAAGCAATATATAAAAAAATACCTTTTACTTTATCCGTATTGCCATTACTTCTCTTAAGTGGTCAAGTGGGCCAAGTCCCAAGTGGGTTCTTACGCCAGTAAACCGATAGAAAGAGCGGTCTATCGCCTCTGTAAAACCAGGGAAATGAGCTCCATTGCTTTAATGTAACTGCTATCAAGTTAAGACTGAGAACGAAAAGTTTTTCCTTTGGTTTGTGATCAAGAAGCTTATTCACAATAGAGCCGTCAGTTAAAGCGTCCAAAAGAAAAACAAATAACTAATGTAAAGGACAATAAGTGAGTAGATACCAAGAACCCAAGCAGTTTTTCCCTTGAAAATTTAATTCTAAGCATTTTGGCGGATATGAAACGCAGCGAGATTTGAAAACAGCAACACGAGCTGCGAAAAAAAGTTTAACCGTTGTTAAGCTACTTCCCTCCCAATGTAAGGCTTTGCTTTACATGATAACTTTCATCACTTCTGCTTGAATCAGGGCGTTCACCGCGTCCTCGTCAAAATCACCAGTAAGTGCTAAATATGCTAATTTTGGCAAAAACTTTTAAATTCAAGCTTCATTTGCAGACAGTAAACGGAATCATCACAAACTCTGATTTGTTGAAATCATGAAGCTATTTTGACTATAGACACTTTATAGTTTTGTTTCCTTACACCAAATAAGATTCAGGAAAATTCGTGGATGAAATGGCCTTTCGAATCATGGGAACCATTTCCTGGTTGCAAGAAAATAAGACGTTTAGTTTCTGTTAAAGTATGGGGAGATGTTCTGTATTGACTGTCCGTTTGTTGTGCGCCCGAGTAGTATGCAGCGGTAACGTTACCATGTGCTCTTATCAATATAATCTTGCTGTTGACTCGCCATCTTGTGTGTGTGTACACTCTTCTGAAACCCCAAAAACATAACATATCTGGCGACGAAGACGGGATCATGCCAAACTTAGGCAAAATAGAAGAGTTCGATCCAACCTCCACCAATATCAATCGTTATTTGGAGCGTTTGGAGCAATATTATATCGCGAACGGCGTTCGAGCGGATACAGGCGAACGATTCAGACGCAGAGGAGCCCTGATCTCTGTCATCGGTTCCAAAGCTTACGACGTCCTTTCGGACCTGTGCTCACCAGAAGCTCCTTCGGAGAAAACTTACGGTGATCTCGCCACTATTCTCAAGGACCACTTTGCTCCGAAGAAACTTCTTATCGCAGAACGATACCAGTTTCACAACTGCATTCAACTCGAAGGAGAAAGCATTTCCACTTTCGCCGCTAAGCTCAAACACCTCGCTTCTACCTGCAACTTCGGCACACATCTAAATGAAGCTCTACGTGATCGCTTGGTGTGTGGACTTCGCAACAAGGAAATACAGAAAAAGTTGTTAACCGAAGAACACAACTTTGACGAAGCTCTCACAAAGGCGCTCGGTGCTGAGGCTGCCCAGACAGATGTCGCTGCATTCTCTCGAGAAGACGCCACTCCGGTAAACAAGCTCAGTTCTGTTGGCCGTCAGACACATCGTCTGCGAAGAACACGCAGGCCTCCATGTGAGGGCCGAGGCAAAAAGCCACTTACCCAGAATCAAAACAACAGCACTTCTGAATGTCTTAGTTGCGGCAAAACAGGCCACGCACGTTCCCAGTGCAAATACAGGAACTATACTTGCCATTCCTGTGGGCAGGTATAGTTCAGGCAGGCATTTCAAGGAGACCCCAATCCAGCCCTCTGATACACGCCTGTACACCTACACAGGGGACCCAGTTCAAGTCTCTGGTCAGTTCTTAGTACGACTCAAGTATCAAAATCAGCGTGTCACTGTGCCACTCCTTGTAGTTAAAGGCTCTGGACCATCACTCTTTGGAAGAAATTGGCTCTCTCGTGTCAACCTGGATTGGAAGAGAATATGTAGCATACATGTCTCAGACCCAGGCCTCACACCGGAGGTCAAGTGACAATTGCGCAACACAGTCCAGTGTCACTCTAATGTCTTCAAGCCTGGCCTTGGTACTATTCAGGGAATCACAGCTAAATTGGAGATGACGCCGGATGCCCAGCCAAAGTTCTGCAAGGCCTGCCCAGTACCTTACGCTCTCCAGGAAGCAGTAGATGCAGAGTACCACCGACTCGAGTCCGAAGGTATTGTGGAAAAGGTCGAATTCAGTGAATGGGCAACACCCATGGTTCATGTTCCCAAGGCGGATGGCACCACACGGTCATGTGGAGACTATGCTGTTACGGTCAAGCCTCAAATCAATGTCCCTCAGTATCCAATTCCCCTGCCTGAGGATGTATTTGTCAAGTTGCGAGGCGGAAAACGATTCACCAAGCTTCATTTAAAGAATGCTTATCAGCAACTCCCATTGGATCTTCAGAGTCAGCAGTTCGTAACCATCAACACACATCGTGGCCTATATCGGTACAAAAGGCTACCATTTGGTATTGCCTCATCCCCAGCAATTTTTCAGCGGACCATGGACATCATTCTTGAAGGTCTTGAGCATGTCTCAGCGATTCAAGATGACATTCTGATCACGGGCAAGGATGATGAAAAGCATATCCAGAATCTGAACACTGTTCTCAGTCGCTTAGACAGCTACGGCTTGCGACTCCAGCTCAACAAGTGCAAGTTCATGCAGCGGTCAGTAACCTATATGGGCTGCGTCATTTCTGCTGAAAGAATCTCCCCAACGGAGGATAAAGTTGAAGCCATAAAGAAAGCACCACGCCCTGAAAACTGCACCTAATTAAGAGCCTTCCTGGGAATGATAAACTACCACGGGTAGTTCATCCGCAATCTGAGCTCAATTCTTCAGCCACTGAATCAGTTCCTTCAGAAAGATCTAGAGTTCCTGTGGTCCCCCCAGTGCGAGGAGGCCTTCAACAATGCAAAAGAATCTCTCTCTTCCTCCCATGTGCTGGTGCATTACAATCCTAGACTCCCAGTGATTCTTGAAAGCGACACAAGCCAATATGGTATAGGGGCTGTCATACTTCACCGTTTCCCCAACGGAGACGAGAGACCAATCGCACATGCCTCAAGGTCCTTAAATTCATCTGAGAAGAATTACCGTCAAATAGAGAAGGAGGGCCTAGCCATCATTTTTGGCGTGACCAAGTACTACATGTACCTATTTGGAAGCAAGTTCACACTTCGAACTGATCACAAACCTTTGCTAAAGATCTTTGCACCAGACTCTGCCACACCTGTCTTGTCAGCAGCGCGTGTTCAGCGTTGGTCCCTGCTCCTCTCGTAGTACCAGTACGAAATTGAATTTAAGCCTTCTGCTGAAGTAGCCAGCTCTGATGCCCTGTCCAGACTACCCCTGCAGTACAGGAAGGATGCCAGTATCGAGGACAAAATCTTCCAGGTCTCGCCTGTTTCTGTCTTAGAAATTGCACGCCAAACTGCTAGAAATCCAGTCCTAGCTAAGGCTCTCGCGATGACCCGAAATGGTTGGCCTGCCTTTTTCAAAATAAACTCCACTCCTGAGCTCAAGCCATTCTTCCTCCGCAAGGATGAGCTATCTGTCGAGCAAGGCTGTCTGATATGGGGCCTGCGAACCGTCATACCTCCCTCCTTACAGGAGCAGATTTTAAGTGAGCTACACAAGGGGCACCCAGGAGTCGCACGCATGAAGGCAGCTGCCCGCAGTCATTTATGGTGGCCTGGGATAGACAGCGACATCGAGGAGAGAGCACGTGGGTGCAAGCAGTGTTTCCAAACCAGAAGGGCGCCACAAGCAGCACCACTTTCCCCCTTGGTCGTGGCCTACAGCTCCTTGGCAGCGCATCCATGTAGACTTTACCACCCACCAGTCCAACCACTATCTCATTATGGTTGATGCTCACTCAAAGTGGCTAGAAGTGATTCGTCCCATGAAAATCACCACCGCTGAAGCAACAGCCACTGCGATGCGCACCATTTTTGCAAGATATGGCCTTCCAAAGCAAATCGTTAGTGACAACGGCCCACCTTTTCAGTCTGCTGAGTACGAGGAATTCTTGAGACAAAATGGCATCCAGAAGATATATACGTTTCCCCGTATCATCCATTTTCAAATGGTCTAGCTGAGCGGTTTGTGCAAACCTTCAAGCGCTCTCTAGAATCCCCAGCATCTGATCCTTCCTGCACACTGCAGCCGAGAATTCAGAACTTCCTTTAGTCTTACAGAAGCACCCAGCATGCCACACCTGGCTCGTCCCCAGCCATACTGTTTCTACAAAGAGAATTACGCACACGTCTCTCTCTAGTGAGACCGGACCTCGCCACTCATGTTTTCCACCAGCAAGTAAAGATGAAGATGCACTATGACAAGCATGCTAAATTCCGAGAATTTGCTGTTGGCGACACAGTCCTGGCACGCGACCAGTTGTCAGGGCAAAAGTGGCAACCTGGAACCGTGGTACAACGCCCCTCTTCACACTCTTGCCAAGTTCACCTTGATGATGGGGGAGTTTGGAGGCGACATGTGGATGACGTCTTGCAGAACAACTCCCACTCTACAACAGCTGAATCTGGTGTACCATCCTTGGAGACGGCAACCCCAATTGTTCCAGAACCCAAACAGATTAGCTCACCTGAAACCAGTTCACATCCACCTGACTGATCGTTACTTAGCTGATGAACTCACAGAATACTTAGTTCTAGGGACACTCAAATGGAGACTTGTTAGTACTGAGTATTTGTTTAGTTTGCTTATGAGAGAGCTATTCTTAACAAATCTCCAGAAGGAGGTGTTGTAGTATGGAGATGTTCTGTATTGACTGTCCGTTTGTTGTGAGCCTGCGTAGTATGCAGCGGTAATGTTACCATGTCCTCTTATCAATATGATCTTGCCGTTGACTCGCCATCTTGTGTGTGTGTACACTCTTCTGAAACCCCAAAAACATAACAGTTTCTTTATAGCAATCAACGAGCTTTGGCCTTTAGGTTTACCACGAGGAAAATTTAAAACTTACGGCATGAACATCCAGTTCAGTCGTTATAAAATAGAGATTCTGGCTCATATTTGAGAAAAACTTGAAGACAACCTTGATTTCAAACAATACTGAGTTCTGGGACATTTTTGAGACAACCTTGTTTTTAAAGGTCAATCTTGAAACCAAGGCTGTCTTCAAATCAACCTTGATTTCAAAGGTTTCAAAGTCCTCGCTCATTTTTAATTTCACAAGTTTACTTTGTGAAATTCAAATTTATGCCTTTGGTTCATCGCGCCTGTGAAATGAAAAGTCTTTAATGATTTGATACAACAGGGTGGGTATCAAGGCGCGGAAATTATATATATCTCATCAATAGGTCAAACTCTCAAGCTTTCTGATGGTGATGATGAGCTGAGCATCCGAAAGATGTGACAATCCACATAAGTTGCCTTTAAAATAATTCCCTGAACCTGATGCTTTCCTGTTAATTGCGAGCTGAACTCCTTCATTTGTATTCATCAATCTCAATCCTGAACCGTGAAGATCCTAGTCCCACATACTCCCCACATACTTGCGTTCATCGCGCTGTTTTCGTAACCAAGTCTTCTAAAGACCTCTTCCCACATATAATTGTCTTCATTCCTCGACTTTAAACCTTCTCTGGTACCCAATTCACAACTACCTCAACCTTACTGAAGTCGGGATTGAATGTCTTCTCACTCTCCCTCGTTCCTGCTGTTTATGTCTCTTAAAAGAGAAGGAGAAGTCTCTTGACAAGAAATAGCACACAAACTGCAGTTACAAACATGACAGTAAAACGCATGTTGGAAAACAAGAATAGTAAACTTTACTTGACGTTTCGTATGTTTCGACATACATCTTCAGAAGAAACATCAATGATGTTTTGAACAGACGGCAGTAAAACAGACCGATTAATCCAACCACTACAGTTCCCAAAAAGAAAAAAATCTTAGTTTTACCCTTTTAGGAATGCAAAGTAAAATTATTACCAAACAACTTAAGACCTGCATTAATAAATTTTATGGTTGCATTGATCTTATGGTGTTTTTTCAGAGCGCTCACCGCATCAAGTCCTTTTTTCCGTACAAAGATAAGATCAACTGTTCCCAAATGTCAATGGTTGTTTATAAGGATAGTTGTTGGGACTGCCCGGATTTTTACATTGGAAAAACAAAACGTAGATTGCATAACAGGAAAACTGAACATTTCAAAGGACCCACAAGTGCCTGTCATACATCTGCTATCGCAGACCACGTCAGGTCAACCGGTCACAACGTGAAATAGGACCCCTTTGCAAAAGCAAATAGCAAAAAGGTCGTTCGTGAAATAGGACCACTTTGCAAAAGCAAATAGCAAAAGGTCGTTCTGATAGTCATTGCAAGATAAAGGAGAATCTATCAATTCAAGAACTTAAACCTACTCTAAACGATAATGTCAGCAGCGATAAGCTTTATCTGTATTAGTTTGCGTCTTCGACTATGCAAATTTTTTTTTCTTCTCAACTTTTGTTCGTTGCAATGTTAATTAGTTACTTATCTTAAATTTAAACTTTGTCGCCACGTGTATTATTAACTGTCACTTCTGAAGATGTAGGTCGAAACATACGAAACGTCAAGTAAAGTTTACTAATCTTGTTTTCCAACATGCGTTTTACTGTCATGTTTGTAACTGCAGTTTGTGTGCTATTTCTTATCAAGCTACGATGGCCAAAGAGAGAGAAGTCTCTTCATTGACTTCCTTGGAACATTGATGTTGTCATTGATGATTGTGTCGGAACCCTATTGAGATTGTCTTGAGATGAGTGACATGCTCGTACATGAATCTCTTTCCATTTATGTAGTTGAAGAAGGCCTCAACGGTGTGTTTATTGACTGCGAAGGACTTCATACTGGATGTCGGTCAATTCGTTAACAAGTTTTGTTGAGCCGATTCCCTTCAAAACATTACCAGAAGGTGTAAGCCTGAGTTCGAAGAGAATCTCATCGTAAAGAGATGTAGGGAAAAAGACTATATGCCTATATGGTACTTCAGAATCTCGGTGATCCCATGGAATCCTTTGTTTTTACAACCTTCACTGAGCCTCTTCTCTTATCAACACCTGAAATCTTATACCCAGCATTGCATTTGCTCTTTGAAAGATCTACAGATTGAATCATGCTTGCTCTCTCACTCGCACTCAAGAAGAGATCCTATCTAGTTGGCATAGATCATAACCATCAGTATCCTACGCAAACTTCACGGTAATTCTATCAACAAGAACTCTTGATAAATCGTTTACGAGGGGATTATTTGCATGCCTACTCACTTTTGGAACTGAGGCTCTGAGGACCTTACCCTTTTTGGGTTTAATGTTACTCTACGAATTATGCGGTCAGCCTTGGGGCGTAAGACGTCATCGCTTTAAAATCTGGGCTACTTTATTTACTGACTTACGTTTTATATAATTGATATTTTTATTTAGAATGGCAGAATTTGGAGATACTGATCCTCTATTGGAACACAATGATAAGGATGACGATGAAGATGTTGGCAATACAACAAAACCTTCGCAACCAGACAATTATTCAACTCCAAGGCGAAGAAATTCCAATAACGGAGACGACAATGGACATGGGGGAAGAGAAAGGGTAAAAAAATGCTTAAAAATATTTGATTGAAGGTGGTACCACTAATTCGCAAGTCTTAACTTCAAATGAAAATGCATGGGAATCGCTTACCTGAATTTTTCCTGAAGCAAAGTCTTCAGAACTCGAGGTTTCTTTTAGTGAAAGAGGAATGTTGCTTGCGCCTGAAGATTTTTGGT